ATATAATTGGATTTATCTGGCTATGAGCCCAGCATTACAGTAACACAATCAAACAAAATTTCCTTCTCCAATGTCAAACATCTTCAAAAAACTTGCTACTCAAAGCTTCATCATTCTTCTCAAACTCAGCCATGATGTTGACCAAGAAAACCAGCTCCACCAGAGTCCACTTTCTAAAGTTGACCAAGACTAACTACATTGAATGGTCCAGAATTGTTCACCATGTAAATATCCTTGTAGCACGTCAATGTGCACACACAAAATACTTTCCTTAGACCCTGTAAAGACCCATCAAAGAGGTGCCACAACAGGTGCATCTTCCCCTTATCAACTGGGACGTTGAAATTCAGTTAACCCCAGCTGATGACAAAGGAGCCCGCAAATCCTATGAATAAACCAATATTCACAAAGGGCACTCAACAACAATCTCAGTCTAAATCCGACCAAAAGACTTTGAGATTTGTTTCAAAACTCTCCGTGTGTGCACATCAACGTTGTCAGCCTGAGACTTAAAACAGGTGGCTTGAAGAGAATAAAGGCTGAATACTTGTGCGCTTGATGCGTCTTTATTGGCTTTGTTACAGTATCTTACTGAAGTAAATTCAAGCCTTCATAAACAGGAGCTGGCAACTCCATGTTGTCTTAGGTGCGGGATGGCTACCGCTGCCTGATACTCGCTGAAAGGTCTGTTCCGATCAGGGTCTTCTGAGGTAGGTACAAGAGTACTCCTGTCTCAGGTATATGCAGTCTAGTTTCTATGTATTAATAAAGAGACGTCTTTATTAATAACAATCTTCGAAAACATCTTGGACGGTGGAAGGTAATCTATGTCTAGTTTCTACATATTGATAAAGACACCTCTTTATCAATAATGATCTTCGATAACATTTTGGACAATAAGATGAAGTAGATGTTGGGATCTTTAGTTTGATAACAACATTCTTTAGTGAAAAGATACACAATAACAGTTATAAAAAACGGTAAGAGTCAAATAAAAAAGATAGGATCAATAAAGTGGATACTAAATTGGACACGATCTAAGTTAAAAGTATGAGCTGGTTTTTTAGTAAAAAGTTATAGAGTTTGATTTCTAAAAGTAAAGTTGTTGGTTTGTAAAAGGTTGTTCTTCTTTCTTGGGGTGCGGAAAACCATTTCTTATATACTGCTTTCTGATCTAGTACCTCTAGTACATCAGGGTCTCTTTATGTGCCATCATAAGGGTTTCAAATCTGCTACGCTGAAACCAGAAAAGGATACACCCTGTGACAGATCAATATTGAGTCTTTGCAACGGGTTGGCTCCTTTGAGCTTTGCTGTCATTGCCCAGGAGAACCCTTTAATCTGATGCTGTTGTTCTGACAATGGTAGTATTGCCAAATACTCCTCATGGCTGACAAACGTGGTACACAAATATTGACACAGTGGTTGTTGCACTGCTTTCAGAGCTGCCAGGATGCCTTCATCAAAGCTTGTGTGTTAATGGTCATTTCATCCAACGTCAAAACCACACCACCATAGATAGCGGAGGATCTGTGGAAGCACTGCAAGACTCCCACAAAAAATATGGGGTCTTCTTGTAGTGGCTGGTCCACAGCCCTATTTGGAAACAGAAATTTCCTATAGTGGGTCATGTGCAGCGATCAAGCTTGTATGTAGCATGTCCACATGTATAGTGGGACACATAGCCAGCACTATGACCTGTATATACCCATTCCCTCTACACCAAGGGCATGTATTGGTCCATGCCCTCTGTACCCCAACAACTCTTATTGAATACTACGACCAACTCAATTTGCCGCCAGGATCCCTCACTCACCTTGTCATCTTCTATCTACTACGCCCAACTCAATTCACCTCCAGGATCCCTCACTCACCTTGTCATCTTCTATCTATAATGCTCCCCTCCAATTCACAGCAAGAACGGTCAACAAGGAAAATGAAGCAGATGTCCACTCCCATTAATATCCTTTCTCAGTGTAAGTACACAGGTACATAAATGTAATATTTACAAGACCTACAGTAATGCAAGATGTATGTGAGATCAAAGGCTTTTGTTTAAGCTAGCCTTCAACCTCATATCCCCTATAGTTCCTGAGTTATTTGGATGTAACGGTCAAAAACGGCCTTAAAATCAAATGTTGCAATCAGGCCTTGGAGGGATGGAAAAAATTTGTGCCCAAGTGAGAAAAGTTGAGAGCCTCGGAGTAGGCTTGGCTGATAGCCCGACTGCGTGCACATCTTTTGAAGTGCTCTGAAACTTGAGGCAAGGAGGGATGTGTTGTGTGGAGCCCAAAAACTGAAAAACTGGTTTTGTCAGATGCCTCTATAGGCACATTCCTGGGTCCTGTTGCAGACCACCCCCTTCCCATCCCATGTTTGTATTATACAGTATGTTGTTCTTTTCCCCGGCTAAAAGGGGGTGGTCAAGCCTCACAAGGGGGGGCTGCCTTGAGTAAAATTCAAAAAGTTAACCACTGTGAGGCTAATTTTTCACCAGTGTGGGAAAGGCCCCAAATTTGTATTAAATTTCAACTTACCACACCCAATTTGATGCACAAGTGAGGATGCTTGAACAGCTGTATCCCCAAACTTATCAAAGTCCCTCTTTGAAAAACAAGTAGTCAAGAGAGGGACTTATAGTTATACCTTATAGAAGAAATTTGGCATGTGAGCTGGGAAAGTTTGGCTGGGAAATTTTTCATTCCTCCATACCTGCGTACCCTATAGACAAATATCCTTTGAACCAAAGAAAAGAGTTGTGCGCCTGCTCAACCTATGCATACTGGTCCTCATCGAATTCTCTCTTGGCTTCAGGAAAGCAGGTTTGTCAGCTTTCTCTCTGATCTCAATGTTTTTTTGCAAACTTCACAATCACATTGCTCTGTGAGTTTTGCATCAAATCAGAACTAGGCTACACACATGTGTATAGATTAAGTGGGTGCACGACTCTTTCCTTTGGTCCCAAGGATATCTGTTTGTAGGGTACAGTTGTCTCTGACATAACCCATCTGTGCTGTAAGCCATACTCCATCAACACCCATACAAATTTGGCCATCTGCAGAAAAATTGCAGAGAAAGTGGGTGCATAACCCATAACTTTGTAGTATCCCATAACCCATAAGGTTTTTGAGGGAAACCAGAGCTCATAACCCATAATTCAGGGGTCATTTGGACAAAAAAATGACCAAGGGAGGCTTGAAAAACTCTAAACATGAAGATTTACAGACAAACTCTATTGATGGTAACCTTATTCAACCTTATTTAACTTTCACACACAGCACATCATGAACTCAATTACATTAAGGACCAGGCGCAGAATCCCAGGTCTTCGTATTACCAAAACAAGTCGTTTTTCACGTTTGCTCACATTCGTGGCTGAAAATGGAGTTATTTTGCCATCTGAGATGACATGTGTGATGCAATCAGTGAGTCAGTGGTTTTCTTCTTGTCGTGCCTCATATAGTTTCAGTGAGGCACAACTTCATACACTCATGAATGATGAGTGTATGATGTTGCTCTTTGCATGTCCCCAGATTTGTCGCATTGCATAGTAAGGGAATAAAAAGTTCTATTTCCGGTTCTTTTTATTTTCTTACTACTGGAGGTTTTTGACGTGTAACATTTGATTTGATGACGTTTTGGAAGTGATTTATCTTGCACTCTCTTGCACTTCTATCCTTTTTGGCTTGTCTGGTTAACCTGTGTGAGCTTCATTCACAGCAAAGAGCTATGGCTTTTGAAATAACCTTTCTGTGAAAGGTTGCAAGTGTATGTTGAGCCCGTAATCCAATCTCCTCAGTTACATTCTTTAAATCTGTACCTGTGTGGTCAGTCTGATTTCTATTGCTTCGGTAGATAAGTTGCTGTGAAGCCTATTTGGCTGGAATAGTAAATGGTGGACTTTCATGGGGACAAATGTGAGCGGCAGTTGGTGAGAGGAAGGGAGATCAAAGAGGAATCGGCGTGAGTCACAGGGAATCTGATTTGTCAAGAGAACAAGCTCAGCATTTGCGCTGAGGTGTCAATCATTGGACATCTCAAAGCCTAGGCATGGTGTTAGATAGGTAGGTGTGTGACATGCTGTAGCATGTCACATGCACTCTAAGTGAGATCATCAAGGATCATCAGCAGATCTCGAAGTCAAAGATCAGTCTAAAAGTGCTTTTACCTACTAATAACAAGCGCGAACCAGGAAATCTGCGCCTGGTCCTTAAAATACTTCCTGCAAACTTGTCCAAATACAGTGTGGCCAATATTGGGGAAGGTTTCAAGAATGCAACAAGAAGCAAATGAAAAAGAATCTATAGTAGGAAATATACCTCCACCACCACGGCCTACCAATGAAGAATTCCTCAAAGCCTCAGATATCATGCTATATTACTTTGAAAGTGAAAATGCACAAGAAGTGCAGGGGTTTGAAAGGGCCATCTGAGCCTCTCTTAGACACTGCCGATTGCTATGTGTTGAAGCTGCAAAGCAGCAGACTCTTTGTGATATGTTTTTTGAGGTTTCCTAACAAGTTTGTTTTTGTTTCATACAATCTTTGTCATAACCCATATTTTGTCAGTAAATATATAAATATGGCTTTTGAAAGAGATTGAGGTAACCTATACTCTAGCAAAACCCATGCTTTTGGGCCACATTTTTATGTCAGAGACAACTGACACAGATTTTTGAAAAAGTCCCCAGCCAAACCTTTCCAGCTCACACACCAAATTTTGTGTATAAGGTATAGGTCCCTCTCTCGACTACTCGTTTTTCCCAGAGGGACTTTGTGAAGTTTACTGTATCCCATAAATGTGCACCAAAGATTTCCTGTGGTCGCTTGCTGAATACTGCTTGTTTTCCACTGCGGTAAATGGTTATGCTTATAGCGTATGACCTCAATGGATCTCCCCAGCCTGTGTATGCTAATACAATAGAGTACGAATCGCATATCAGCTTTAAGTTGATCTGATTCGGCATATTTAGACTGCAACACCGAACTGGATTGCAAGAAGATGTCATCTCGAGCTCTTCGTAAAATACCATCGCTATACTCGATACGTCCAATCTGTTATTCATCAAGTAGAAATCATGTCACCACACCTGTCAAACAACCGCTCAGTCACCCAATTGAGACTGATTCCAGTCAACCCAAAACACACTTTGGTTATAAGGAAGTACCTGAATCAGCAAAGAGCACGCTCGGTGAGCAATTTTATACGATAATATGACTTCCGTACGTTTTTCTGATGGCATTATCAATCGTCATCATGGGTTTTCTGAATGTCGAGTAGTGAAAGAAGTCTTTAGCTCGGTTGCATCGTCGTATGACATCATGAATGATGCAATGTCATTAGGTATTCATCGATTATGGAAGGATCATTTTGTCAAAAGTCTCGATCCACATGGACCTTTGAATTGTTTAGATGTTGCAGGTGGAACTGCAGATATTGCACTTAGAATCTTGGACCATGCTCGATTGGTTCATTCGAATCGAGAAACCAACGTCACTATCCTAGATATCAATCCAGAAATGTTAATCGAAGGACAAAAGAAAGTCAATCGAACCATGTATTACGGTGGTAATCAAGTTTCATTCAAATTAGGAGACGCTCAAGATCTCTTAGGTAGCGCTGGTATACCTGATGATTCTATGGATCTTTATACCATCGCTTTTGGGATTAGAAATTGTACCAAGATTGAAGATGTGTTAAAAGAAGCTTATCGTGTACTCAGAAAAGGTGGAAGATTCAGCTGCTTAGAATTCGGCAAGGTTGGGAACCCAGCTCTAGCCAGGTTAGTTTTCCATATTATGAGCCCTTCTACACGTTGATCGCCGGATGTCAAACAAAGAGCTCATCTAGAATATCTTGCCAGTCTATATGAAACCTACAGTTTCAATGTGATTCCTAATCTCGGTCACATTCTTGCGGGCGATCGGGATTCATATCAATGTAAGCAGCATTTCTCAACGCCCCACACAGACTTTTCTCGGTTCAAAACAAATCATAACATCTGACTCTTTAACAATAGATTTGGTCGAATCAATAAGAAAATTTCCAACTCAAACTAAATTTGCTCAAATGATAGAAGATGCCGGCTTTCAAGTATCAAGTCGAAAAAGATGGGAGGATCTCAGCTTTGGTGTTGCTTCGATTCATAATGGAATCAAAGTTTAATCTTTTCAAGAATCGAATTTTCAATATCCAAGGCTTATCTTATCATCCTTCAAATGGCTCGCTCCAATCAAGTTGAAGTGAGGGATGTTAACAGCTTTGTGATGAACAAAAATATATATCAGCCTTGTCCTGTTTGTAATTTTATACTAAAGTTTTACCAGATGTAAAAGAGCTACCTTGTTTCATCTATTAGAGGCTAGAGCTCACAGCAAACTGTAATGAAAAATTGCTCTTCTTGTCTGCTTCCTTACGGATTATTCAGCCATTGAAACTTAAAACTACTGATTGGTGCTCCCATGAACAGAGCTGATTGATTACTGATTGACCAGCAATCATGAGTGAAGGTGACACCATCAAGGTGAAAGCACTTGCCACAGATTTCAATCAATGCTTTACATTTGAAAATCACTACTCGTTATGAACATCACAGGATGTGCAAAGGCGTATTCAAGCTGCTCCCGCTTGTCCAAAACGCAGAGGTATATCCAGTAACAGAAATGCATTGCTCAAGCCCTGTTAATAACCCTGCAACCCTAAAAAAATATATAACTGAAAATATACAATGCGCTAGGCTTATACCAAAGCAAAAAAAAGAACTCATAAAAACTTACAAATACACGTCAAAAGGGTATTTATATATATATATATATATATGCAATAACTTCAATCGAGTTAATTTAGCTTCTATCTATCTGTGTCCTTTTATATTTAAAGTTGACCTGATAAACACTTCCTAAGCATCCACATCTTCTTCAGTTTCATCTAACGTACTTCTAAAACTGCTCTATTCGTTTCAAGACTTCAGCTTCACATCCACCCTTCAGACTCTCAACCACCTGATCCTGTTGAACTTCTTCTATCAGATGACACACTTGCCAATTCGTACGGATCCATTTTTCCATGAAACCCTGTAGGTGAGGTTGGTGCAGGGGGTGGTGCCATAGACCAATCCTCGGATCTTCATAGCTCTCCACCCATAGGTATTTCCCTCTCGTTTGCTGCGCTCATGTCCAGATCCAGAAGAGAGCTTACATGGGCTGGCTCGACGAAGATTGCGGGAACTTTCGAATAGAATGTATCGATCAAATCCATCAGTTCTCAACTTCTCAATTCATACAGGATAGATTGAAAAAAGACAAATCAAGAATATTCTTTCACCTTTGGTCTGGCCCTGTTTCTTTAGAGCCATTGTGGTTTTGAATTTCCGTCGAAGCAGCAGAGTTCTGAAGAGGCCCTGAACACGGTCAAAGTTAACAAGATCTGCGACTTTTTCTTTCTTAGTTTTTCGTTGTAAGAGTTCTTCGAGTCTGTACAAACCGATACGATTGCCAAAGAGAATGAAGAATGTGAGAGTGATGAGTTCGAGAGCTAGATATGATACAACCTTGCCTGAAGAAGAAGATGAAACACTGACTGTAATCCTTGATCATCTTCAATCAATTTTCGATGCGCTAGTAAAAGCATCATTCCAGTAAATGATAACCCTCGTCCTGGTTTTTCGGACATCAGGGCTTCTTGATATAACTGTGATCAATCGGCGTGTAAGTTAGTCTTCCATCAACCTCGCGAGAACAAAAAAACCAAACAAACGTGATTGAAGAGATTTCGGCGCGCTTTGGTCTCCGTAGGGTCCAAGAATGATAACCGTGCATTAAGTTCATGAAGGTCAAGCCCGGGCGCATGAGGACTGAAGCGTGAAGTCGAGGCTTGGGTATCAGAGTGCATCCGTTCTGCATCTTCAAAGTTGACTGAATCCGGCTTTTGCGTACACGCTTCAAGCAAAGCTGGTAAACGGAGCTCGGGTGGATAGATGCTGACATTGAACGCGCCCGTCAAGCGCTAAAATAGAAATGAAAAATGAGACAAACTGAGGTTGTTGAGGCAAGTGAAAAGATAGACCCACCGCAAAGAAGGGGATGAACTGATGTCGCTGAAGGTAGCCAGTCCGATCGAGATCGAAATCAGACCAGACCTTTTTGAACCTCCGCACTGTATATGCAAAACATTGGTCAAAGCATGTTTTTTTTACCTGAGATTTGTAGTAAGAGCACACATACCTTCTTCCCTGTCGATCGCTTTCACCTTTCCGTACAGTTGAAATACATAAGCAAAATTGTCTACCACCAAACCAGTAAACATGTCTATCATCCAGAAGGCGTTAGTCTCCAAATCCAGTGTATCTTTTTGTCGAGCAGCTAGAAACTTACTCAATATAATGTACATCGAGATGACGTTCCACGATATGAAAAGGATGTAGGCGGCCTCGGCGCTGCCGCAGTCATTGAACAGAAAGTTGGGCGATGATACACAGTAAGGAGCTTCGATAGTGTACTGTGAGAGGATATGCGTCAGTCAGGACAAGACCTAGAACGTGGGAAATTACAAGACCCAATAGCTTACGTCGTGCATAAACGAGTTCCACGCCTCCCTTTGCCACAGACAGACAGGATCAATAACATTTATAGGATAACAAAGAGTAGTTTGAGATTTCTCACCCAGTACTCTGAGTCGCCAACATCACGAGTGCATTGGCTAAGCTCTGGTAATTTGAGTTCCTGGTCAACGACGAAGGACCCATCCTTGTCAAGCTAAAGTTCTCAACAAAAAGAATTCCCCACACAACAAAGAGGACAGCCCATAACCCCAACAAATTGGTGATCGATGGAAGACTAGAGATGGCCGTTTTGAAAAGCTGGTTCAACGCATTGTTCTTCACCACTAACTTGAAGGCAATTGCGACTAAGAAGAATTTCTGAAACTGAATCATCACATTGCTAATCTCTTTGTTAGCTAAAACAACCGGGGCCGTGGTTGCAAAGGTTCCGATGATGACTAGCACATCGTAAAAATTCCATCCGTTCTGTCGAAAACTGATCCAACCTATTCCCATGAGTCTGATGACCACGTCAGCCAAATATATTGAAGCAAGTAATAAAAATAGCATATCTGAAAAGAAGACCGTCAAAAGACAGTGCCAATATCAATGTTGTGCTATTCTGTATCGTCGCAGGAGGCAAACAAATCAATCAGAAAGAACATACCGCGATACTGGTCCAGCTTCGTGGCACTGTTGGACCTGGCAAAAGTCATCAAGATGATGACGTGGAAAACATACAATCCCGTCATCATTCTCGACCACCATCCGTGCTTTTGGGTTGCACGGCTGTAACACCAATCACGTATGGGATCGCGTGGCCGTGCCCTTGGTATTTTCGAAGGCTGTTGACGTAGGATCAGTCGTCTGAGATTGATCCATTGTTGTTGCTCAGTGGTTAGAAAGGCCGATCCAGACCGTTTCAAGAAATTGTTGATGATGACCGCCAAGAATAACGTCAACACGACCGTAGCCCCAAAGAGATTGTAGACTAAAGTGTAGATCGCATTGATCTGAGTGGCATCTTGACTCGGTTGTTGGTCTTTCCCAGTGATCGACATCAAACTGACCATGACATTGATCCAACCTTCCAGTGAGATAATCTCAAACAAGATAAGTACCGCAGATCGAAATGAATCAAATGAGTAGACATAAGGATTGTTCCACACCCTAGGCATCAAATAATTGAAGCTAGCTGGCGCGCCACTCAAGCTGGACGGTGCACCCACATACTCGCCGACACATTGAGCTTTACCCAAGATACCAGGGGAGCTGTCATTACAGCTATATAACAAGCCGGCAAAGATGTTTTGACCCCACACGGCGAAGGGCACAATGTACATCACTGTCAAAACGGATGCATCGATCAGATTCCCGAAGCCCAAGACAAGGACGTTGTAGAATGTCTCTCGCATGCTTTGCGACATGTTGATCAGTCTCAGAGCACGAAAGGCCTTTAAAGAACGAGTGATTCGACTAGTGGTGCCTCCATAGACTAGAGACGCAATGACGTCAGTTATCAAGGTGATGAGGACCAAAAAATCGATTCGATTCCATGTGTTAAGGAAATATGCATTGGGAGTGAAGATGAAACCGTCTGCAACGATTTTGATGAGGAATTCCAAGACGAAGAACATTCCCAAACTGATCTCGGCTTGATTGAACCAGGTGTGAATGGACTCGCCGTGCAATAGATAATGATGCTGTTTATAGACCGGTGTGGCGATAGCAGCGACAATGACACTTCCTGCTATAGCCGCAAATACCGTCGACTCAAATGCAGTGCTAGCTATCTTATTGGCTTGTTGCCCCAAGATCCGCTCTCCATAGGCCGGTTCAACTAATTTCTGACACATCATCCTGATAATGTTGCGCTGCGAGAAGATCCAGAGAGATTTGTCATAGGTTGGGTGAGAGGCGATGAAGTCCAACTGCAAAGCTCGACGTTCATTACGTTCGTCCGCGTAAAATCTTTGTCGTTGACTTGCAGTCATCGACATGTAGTCTCTATGGCGAAGTCGAAACTTTGTGTAAGTTTAAGAGAGATCGATGATTTCCAGGTTTATGAGTCTTGAGAAAGACTGATAAAACTTACAAGGATTTATCATACTCTGCGTCAGCAGCAGCATGAGCCGTGACAGCATTCGGGGCCGATTTCTTCGTAGGATTGTCAAGATGGAAAGCTTTCCTGGCTCGGATTACAAAGGCGTTTTGATGTACTGATGTGTTCTGAACAGTTGGTCATAGAGTCAGTAGACGAGCACGAGAGATCAAGTAATTGATGGTTCACATACCTCGTCACCACGCGGCATCGTAAAGGTTCGGACCATTGACTTTTGCATAGGCAACCCCGATTTTCCTGGGAGGTTGTCGGCGACGACTGATTTGGGCTTGACATAGTTATATGGATTGAAATTGGAGTACCATTGATAAGGTCCAACCTCAGGCCTGGACCGATTGATAAGTGCTCGTACTTGTTCCTTTCGTTTTTGCTCCTCTGCCACAGCAAAGCCCTCAGAGATGACGGCAATGAACATCTGTAGCAAAACGACTAAGATCGTTTGAGAACAGGTTTTTTGTAAGCGCGCTGCAAGATCTGTATCTTCAGTCAAACTCACAATTAGCAAACAAAAACCAGCAAGAGATCATGATTCCTGAGATAAAAGCCTGGCCGTAAGGAGCCTGAGCAGCCATTGCAGAATACAAGACAGTTGTCCAATTTTCCGAAGAGAAAATCTACGAGGCAAGAGTGAGTCAGGTTACGGTTTTTGGCAATGAGCGTGATCGCCACAATCCTACCTGGTACATCGCCAAGAAAGCGTTCCACATTTGATAAAAAGTCATTTCTGTATCGTCACTCTTGGGAATTACACCGCGAAACAGTTGGACCGCCTGTAATAGGGGAAGTTTTTTTGTTTGAGTTTGGAAGTCAGGTCTGACTCAAAAAAACTGACTGACGAGCAAAGCAGCAAAGAAATTGATCCCCATCAGAAACAGGATCATGTTCATAAGTCCAGTGAAAGAACCTCGTAATTTTTGCTACGTAAAGATTTCGAGAACATGATAGTGAGTAAACTGAGTTGAGCGATTGGATAAGCAGCACAGAGGATGTAAGTGACTGACCAGCAAAGGCCCAGTACGTGGAAATGCTACGATAACGCGATAGAATCGAGCGATTTGAAAGAACGTGAGCCATGGGTAAGCAGGCGAACGCTTGAACAAGGGGATTTGGATCACGATGGTGATACAAGCTAAAGTGGCATCAGCCATGTTGACACCGTTAACAAATTGTCGCGCTTGATTAGGTAAGTAGCCGAGAAATCTCAGCAAAATTTCAAACACGAAAGCAATCGTGAAGTATAGTTCGGCACGATCTGCGAAGAGTAACAGTCAGCACCGCATTGAAGAGAATATGAGCAAAAGATCTAGCTGACCTAGCCAGAGACTGGCCTCCGGAGACATGTTTGCTGTTCTGGTGGCTTGCACAACAAAATCGGCAAAGACAACGAGTACCCAAAAGTAGTACAGCCAATTATTGACCTTTCTCAGTAGACTGGGTTTAATAGACTTCTTATGGGTAGCGGCATCTGATACACTATCATCCGCGTCGAGTAACATAGGTCTGGAACGCACATACGGCACGACAAAGAGAAACATCAGTCGTGCTGTGAGAGTTGTCTTCGTGAACTTCACCGCTCACCCAGAACTGCTGGCAAATGCACTACACTTTGTCTCGTCCATGATTTCAGCAAAGGTATTTGTAATCACCGCGACCAATATATTCAAGAGCCAAAAGTTCAGGACGAGTAAGCAGATCACAAAGAACAAGCAGGACAAAAAGTATTCTGCATCCATCAGGCTGTACATCATATTGGCCCATGTATTCGCTGAGGAAGTAAGAAAGAAACAAAAACTGAGTTAATAAGACAAAGGCACAAACAAGGATCAAATGGGTAGATTTCATTACCAGATGCAATCACAATCACCTGCATTGCTGCTCCAGCAACGTTGTCGAAATTTTGAGTCCCATTGTTCGGATTGCCAGTTTCCTAACGTTGATAGATTGCGGATGAGCCACTGACTGGGATAGTGTAGTAGCGGAAGACCACCAGAAACGAGTTCAAGATTCAATGTGCGTACCATGCAAAGTTGACCTTGCGGACAAAGATATCCTTTCGGATTATTGAACGGCAGGCCTGTCGAATTTTGAACAAATCCACGAGGAAGTCCTGTGACCGCTTCATAGTGGCCGCCACAAGATTGCAAAGGGAACGTGTAGTTTGATTGGCCAGCAGGATCTATGAAGAAACAAAGGATATTAGTGATCTAACACGTCGAGTAAGTGACGTCAGGTTGAAACAGACTGACCTATCCAAACACAATATCGCTCAAAGGAGCCCTTGAAGCTTTGTACACCAACGATACTGAACAGGACAGCAGCGAAAAAGACAAAAAATAGAACGTTGACCAATAATGGAGAAGCCCGCTTCAATGAATTTAGAATGACCTAAAAAGGTAACAACGCACAACCAGATGGTACATTAATAATTCTTGTTCATTCTCCTGTGGCTTATAAGGAGGAACGGATCAAGTACTGACCGTGGTTCCAGACGTGATTGTCAATAATCGCATGAGTCTCAGAACACTTAGCGCTCTGAATACATACAGCTGGTATTGAGATTCCCAGCCATAGACGCTCAACACAAATGAAATCCAAAAGCTGACGATGGCAACAAAGTCAGTACGATTCCAAGAGTGTCTGAGATAAGCAGTTTGAGTAATCAATTGTTTCTGTTGTCGCTTGATTCCTGAGCGAAAGGGAGTTTCTTGAAAAAAGATTTTAGACGATGGACCCAGAGAGGGGCCCAGGGACATTGTACGAAAAGGCTGAGATTTGGCTCTATTAACGAATATGTTAGAGGTTTGAGGGGTTGTGGTGGGTATATACGAAGGTGTTGAGTTATGTTGATAGTCATCGGCAAGGCTGGCATCATCTAAACTAGCTTTGGGAGGATAAGAGGAAACCGAGACTATCTTTCTTTCAGGATCATCGTCATCATTGTTGGAAGACCAATCTGAGCCGTCTGCAAGTTGCAAAGGTAAAGTGCTGACCGATCGATCTTTGGGGTGAGAGTTTGGAAATCGTGGAGAATTTGATGCTTTCCTACCAAATCGGGATTTAAAAGACAGTTTTTTATTCAAGATCTCGGCCACGGACGTGGGCGTGGCTGAGCCGTCGTCATTAAGTACAAATCCAGAAACAACGATTCGAGCCATCATTTCGAATCTGAAGGAGAGGTTTTTAGTTGAGACTGTGTCAATCACTTCACGTTACATGAGTCCTAGAAAACATTATGGACTGACGTGAAAATACAGAAGAGGCTAAAAAGCGCATAATCCTCCCAGGTATGAAAATAGCCCTTGCTGGGGCGCGGAAAGTCCCAAACACTCTTCGAAGATTGAATTGTCAAGACGACCCCATCCAGAATAATGAGCAGAAAGATCAAGGGTTCCACAATCGTTGACTTGAACAGATAAAAAAGGCTCAATCGAAAGCGGTTTCGAGGACCAAAGATCCCAAGGGTATGGCCTCGGAGTTGAAGGTAGGGATTCGAGTCAGTAGAATGATCTCCAACATTGAGAATCGAATGTCCATCCTCGCTATCAGTCAGCCTTTGATGAGGAAATTCTCTTTCGCTGGGAAGAGCAGGACCGCAATCTGTTAATTCGATTGCACTAAGATTTCGACTGCCAGGAGGTGCGGAGCAACGATTATCAGGCAGAACATTTCCTGCTAGGTTGACAACTCTGATGCTCGTACGTCGGATAGCACTAGCAGCAACAGAGAGAGTATTACGCCTATTAAGCAGCTTTGATCCCGAGTTACGTTTCGGATCGCTATGGGGAATATTCAGAAGATCGGCGTGGTCTTTAGAATTGGCTCGTGGATTCAGTATGTGTGAGCTGCCGGATGCAATAGGTTTAAGATGGCTAGTATCTGACATCATGTTGTTTGTGACGTTGGTGGATGTAAATGGCAGTGAGGATGGCCCAGCTTGACCAGGAATTGTAACCAATGATGGATCGGTAGTGTCATATTTTGAGTGTTGATCAGAATTAGGTGGAAAGCCATGATGATCCGAGATTGTTGAGGTAGTGAGATCAGAGGAAGTGCGGGCACGGCCATGTTTGGTAGTGATAGGGCTTGATTCAGGTAAGATAGACCGATTGTACATCTCAGAAGTGAGAGAAGAGTCAACAACTGATCTGCGACGGAATGAGTCCAGATTGTTGAGCCAGATCTCGTAGGATGAGTAGTGTATTGTTCTCGAGTGTGAAGGGGGCCCCTAGAATGTGATGATTGATCTTCAAAATGGTTTTGCTCTGAAAAAGATCTTCGACTTGAGCTTCTACTTCTTCTATGTAGACCTTCATTGATGGTACTAGTCACGCTAGAGGACAGGATATCATTTGAGGGAGAAAATGTTGCCTGTTGATCGCTTATACTGAGACGAGGTTGTAGTGAGCTAACGTAAGTGACAGCCGAGATATCGGATTCTTGATGGATCGGATTTCGATTTGAATAACTATTGATGAAGTCTGAATGAGTAGAGCTGAGTGGTGATAGTCGAGAAGAAGCAGGTGATGAAGTTAAAGATGATGGAGGTTGTGGTGAAGTCTTGGGTATATCGAGACGAAGTGAACCTGGTTGAGACATAATTGTAACTCAACTTTCTTCCTTTCGAAGTCGAAACAACTCGAAACGGTTGTTCTTCGTATGTACTCGTAGTGGTGGTGTCAGTTGTCTCAAATTTTCAATTTAATCAAAATTTCGTTGTCCAATTCACTCTGTTTCAAATATGCATTTGATCATCATCACTGAAAATATAAAGCGAATCAGCTGGCGAAATTTATAATGACCAGACGAACCAACACTCTTGGCTCATCCGCAGTGGAACTGCCAAAAACTATGCATGTACTCTATCTTGGACTGCAAATTCCTAGGCATCCCAATTCTCAACCCAGCGCCTTGCAACACGCTTGTTGCAAGGGACTCGGCATGTATTTAATCTTAGACCCTTGGTAGCATTTGATTTGAGAAAGGTGTTGTGATTGTTCTGGTAAACAAAGAGAGCTGGAGCAGGCTGTATTGAAGGAGTTGATAGCGTTAAAACGCTCGAGGTGGAATGAGCAAATGTGAATCACACCACGTGAGTTAAAACTCTCTAGTTTGGAGAAAGAGTTGAGGCTGACGATTAACTTCAGAGGTTAATCTGAAGATGGAGTTCTGCACCGAAGTCCCTGAAGTTGATTAAAAGGGTGGTCTTCTGAATCTCATGAATGCTTCAAAAGACTCTCAATCACTGAATGTTTGCCTTAACATGCGATGAACATGTTGCCCTGTTTTCCCCCGCCACTAGTTTCCACTTTTGGGAGCACAACTCAACTTCATCATTTTGGATGCAATTTTCTTTTGCAATAAGGCTTAAAGACAGATCAACACTCGGAAAAATCAACAGAAAACGAGTTGTGCTCCCAAAAGTTAAAAGCAGTGGGGGGAATCTCTGGGCGTGTTGTAAACACCAACTCACTCAAGAAAGCACAGTTGATGGAGATCTATCACACCTAATAGATTGGTGCAGTGAGATCATTACAGTGTCATGCATGACTCCTTTGACTTTATATTGTTCAGATTTCAAGGTAAAGTAATAAAGTATGAATAGAATCAAAGGGTCACACTCAATGCATTCACTTCCACTATGTAGCTGCAAAGAATCATTCAACGAGAAATCTAAATCAACTGAAAAACAACATAGTGACATTGACAGGACGGTATGGGCTATCAAATCTAAATCACATTAATCCCAAATCTTATCTCAGGCAAGGCAGGTATGATATCAAAAAAAAATTGTCGCAAAAAAATCCCAAACTTCGGACTCTATAATTTGGTCACAGGATTGAGCGACACATATCATTTTAGAGAAACACACAAGGCAGGAAAACCAAAAAGAACCAAATCAACCTAATTCACACTCATTGCTGAGCACTGAGTGAGCCGAATGAAACCCATCATAGGATCAGTACACCAACAGAGAGAAAGGTTTCAAAGGGTCAGAAACCACTTACCATTGCACTTGCGGCCCATGACCACCTCCACCCTCTTCATCGTCTTCTTCCATATCATCCCCATGTCCATTAGCGCGACTCTTGCCAGTCCTGGCTTCCGAAGCGTCCTGCATAACAACCTCTTCAACGTGAATGCTAGATTCCCAAGTAGGAAGAGGTCGACGAGCAGGAAGAACAGATTCAAGAACTGGGCAAGCAGTTGCAGGGAGTTCGTCTGGAAATAAGACTTTGATGACCAAGATAAGGTCACCAAGTGAATGAAACCGCTGTGAGGGCATTCCATTTCTAGGAACGAGCTTGGTGGAGTCTATGATGAAGACAGGATAAAACCGAAACAAGTCAGAAAAGAGACGAGATCGGGATGAAGCAAGGCATGTTTCGCATCAACGTACTGGGCTTAATCACTTCACCCGGCTTGACTTGAATCATCAATGCTCGAGAATCAAGATGTTCTATCGGAATCACTCCACCAGCAAGCGCAGTCAACAAGTCGACTTCGACCTCGGCGATCAGATCGTCACCTTTACGCTTGAAGACTGGGTGTGGTTTTTCTTCGATCACAATCACAACGTCGCCCGGAGTTGTGTTTGGAGCCTGATCGGCCTCAGCAGCAAATGTGATGCTCTGACCATCCTGCATACCCTTCTCGACATGGACTTCCAAGACTTTCCTCTCTTTGACAATCTTGTTGCCTTCACAAGTTTTACATCGGTCCTTGGCATTGATGATCTCACCCTTACCCTGACATTCAAAACAAGGTTGCTGGATTTGTTGTACCATAGGACCGAGTTGACGGAATGCGATTTTGACACCTTGACCTTTACAGCCAGCACAAGGCTTCACTGCATTTGCTTTACCGCCGCGACCATCACATTTCGAACAGATGACATTCTTTTGTAACGCAATCTTAGTTGTTTTGCCGAGGTATAAATCTTCCAGAGTCACCTTGATGCGATGAACCAAATCTTTGCCCTTCCTTGGGCCTTGTCGACCTCGACCGCCACCAAACTAGAGATAAACAGACATCAGTTGAGGTGTAGTGAAGACTAGAGTGGCAAGATGCTACTGCTTACCATACCACCTCCACCTCCAAATAGTTGAGAAAACAAATCACTCGGGTCTACACCACCCATTCCAGCTCCACCTTCAAGGCCCTTCTTTCCATACTGATCGTAAAGTTCTCTTTTCTCGGGGTTAGATAGCACTTCGTAAGCTTCGGAAACAGACTTGAATTCGTCTGCACCAGCAGGGTTTTTATCCGGGTGTAATTGCAAGGCCTGAAAATGATATCCGTCGATGAGTAACGGGATATATGATATATTTGGGAAAACAGAAATCTTTTCTACCTTCTTCCTGTAGGCTTTCTTTAGGGAGGTTTCGTCTACATCAGGCGAAACTGAAAAAAGTGATAAAGCACAACAGGTTCGATGTCAATAAGATAAGAAAAGAATAAAATTGAAACCCATAAAGGTTCACTCACCGCCCAGTCGGTCGTAGTATTCGGTTTCAGCAACCATCTTGAGCGAGGCTTGTTAGTAAAGAAGCAGGTGACGGGAAAAGCTCAGAAGCTCGAACGACAAAAGACGCCGGAGTCGTATGAAACGCTTGTCAAGAGTGCTTTTGAGGAGAACAAGATATCGAGATCGTGATCGGCTTGTTAAACGGATGTGAGTTTCTTGGAGAGAAGGATGAATGTGGACGTCTAGATTACGAAAAGACGTAGGTTGATTCTAGTCGAACTTGAAGTGATTGATTGATTTCTTATACAAAATTAAAAAGTCGTTGAGTTTCTTTTTCTGTTGGATAATTTTGAAAAATAAAAGAAAATGAAGAATATAAAGCTAACTCTGACTCTGAATCTGATTGATATCAAGTTACAAATTCCAATTTGATGTTAGTCAAAGTGTTACTCTTTACAAAAAAACCGTTTCTTTAGTCAGCCACTTTCATTTCACCTTTGTCTTTCACTTCTCTTCCTTTCTCTGCGGGCCCAATCTGGAAATTGTTCCAGAATCATCCACCAGCTGCCAGAACTTCAATCGAATTTTTTGATGGGTTTGACGCGTACTGCGGAAGTGTGACATGCTGACTATATCATGTTATCCGGGGTTGTAAATGGCACGTGGCCTTTCACAGAGTTGAATCGAGAAAGAAATCCATGACGTGATCATGTAAGTTTGGTTGGAATCCCAAGGGAGCTCAAGGGCCAGCGCGACATTTCCTTTTACCGCTTGAAGTTGTCACCTTACGATTGTAGTCAGTAGACGTTCTCATTCACCAACTCGTCGCAGGTGGCCCAAATCTTGGGAGACAATTTTGACATCACAGACTACCCACATTGTTTAACTCATCTTTTACCAAAACCCCGACATGATTCGTAGTATATACCAACAGCCTTACTATAACTCGAATGAATACTTATGTTCTTTGTGATTTCTTATCATTCGCTTAACAAAAGACTGGGTATACATCCTTGTGATAATATCTTATTTATTATCCTTGTTGTGATGCTTGTATGAGCATATATTGTTTGCATCATTTCTTCTACTGCTGGGGACACATGAGCAACAGAATACCAAAATCCTCCAAAAGTTCAATTCTCGAGAGCTTTGATAGTTGTGCAGCATCGAAACAGAAATTGGGGTCAACAAGGGAATAAAAGATGGAGGTCATTAGTGGTGCGCGGAGATCCCATATGATATTCTTTCGCAAAACTGAGTTGGAGGTTATATGATATTTCCACTTTTCTTACGGACCCTGTTCTGTGAAAGACTCTGCACTGATAATTCCCCTGAAATAAATGCTTTTAAAAGCAGAGTGTGATCATTTGGTACCGCAAGGTACCCTCAGAATTTGAATCGAGATATCAAAGTCAGTGCAATTCCTTCAGTTGATGACCTCGAGTCAACTTCAGCAGCTTTGGGTTTTCTAAAGATATTGTGAGCTGATATCTCCTAAATAAATCTTAATTTTCTTTCTTGATATGATGCAACAAACTTGAAAGTAAGGCATGAAATCAAGTTCAGCTACTTTCTTGGAATGCTGACATCATGGACTTCAAACAAGCTTCCATAAAAGATGCCTCCGATCCTGGTGCCACAAGTCTTGATTTGAATACTTCATCTGAGCACTTTGTGTATCACCTTGGTACTACGTGTTTGGGCTCGAGGTTAACAGCCTTCAAGGATTGTCCGAGCAAAATGGTGCTTCGACCGGCCTGGCATTTCAGACCCAAAAAGGGTACTTTGGGTCTGATTGAATATATAATAAACCTTTGATAAGTCTGGTGGAGTGCAGCATTGAGTGCTGATACTATGTTTTTGATTCGAGAGCGGATGTGGCCGCGTTGTAAGAGGGGCTTAGTTAAGCTTAGTACTTGAAGACTCTTTCTAATCGAATCTCTGAACACACCAATGGAAAGCAGATATTTTCACACTTTGTATGTTTGCGAGAGGCTGTCTGAATGAAGTATGGAGATGTAACTCTCACACTCATGCGAGATTTTTAGCCAATGTGAATCGAATTTCCTGCTCATATACCCAGTCAGAATCAACTCAAGTCTTTCTCGCTTAATGTCACCAGAGAAATACTTTGCAGGCTATACTTCACGGTATCATGAAACCCTGGCAATGATCTCACTCGCAATACCCGGGTAAGCCAAAGCTTTCTGCAAGTGGGCGTGGCTGCGATCTGTGCATATAGTCTCTGAATATTACTCTTGACAGTGGGCGCGTGGTTGTAAGAGCAAGTTTTTCCAATGTGTAGTGTTCAACTCTTCAATAGGTAAGATTAGAAAAGGCTAAACATAAATCTTTTCAGTCACATTTTGATGATCTTTGCGTCATGATGCTTCATATGATCCTGCTACAATCTTATCTGGCTACTGATAGGCTTCTGATTTCAAAGTTCACATATCTTTATTGGAAAGCTATCAAGTAGTAAGCTTTAATATTATTTGCTACCCTTGCCCTCACAAAGAAATGTTGCACACCATCTTGGTCATGCAAGTAATCTTTAACAGTTTTGATTTACTTGAGGAAATTGGTAGCTAACATGAATTCCTCCCGAAACTAATGGTTATGGATATTACCTCACAAAAGACGAAAAATGTTGATGTATGATGATTTGACTAGGAAATTTGAAGTATAAGAAAAAGGATCTCAACCCACTTGTCAACTACCTCTGAAAGACACATGGGAGCATCTTTCCCAAATTGGTTTTGTAGCAAGATTAAATCGAATCAAAAGCAGCAGTCCAGGATCAAAGAAAAGGTTTAAAGAAGAATTGAAAAGAAATATTCCAAAGCCAAACCAAAAAGACACGAAGACTTAGAAAGTACCAAACCCTTGATAATCCATATCCAAAGTGCTTACACAGCTTTGAATCTGATTGTGGGTGGATTCTTGTTTTCCTTCCAAATCCTTCTCTTGAATTACCAATCACTGACATCATTTACTTTGAGTTTCAAAACCCTTGTACATAGGGATCACCACTGGAATTTACACTTCTGTTGACCCTTTTACGTAGAAAAACCTATTCATCTCAATCTCAATCTCAATCTCAGCTTATCTTATCAAAGTTCATACCCATCCAATTTCTTGAATTCGGCAAGTATCTCCCGTTTAGTTAAGAGTGAGGAATCTGGTCATCTTTGTACCAATTGATCCATCCAACTCTTGAACCCCTTGACTGTCTTCTTCGCTTCAAGAAGATTCCAAAAATCTGTTATTTTTGAAATCTTGACCTGATGAGTTGGGTGAGTGGAGTTTGAATTTTCCATCATTTGTTTGATAGGATGTTAATGAACATTTCTGAATTTTCATCAACTTTGGTAAATAATTGCGAATGGCGAAGAAAGACCGGGGTGAGGATAGTGACAGGATCCGAATGTAAATTTTAGAAAATTGCTTGAAATTGATTTTCAGTTTTCTCGATCAAACTTGACAGCTACTCTATTCAATTCAAATCTAATCCAAAATGAAACCAACTTCAAATCAATCAACTTCTCAATATCATTCAGCAATCCTCAATCAACATCAATCAAATCATCATGATCAATTACCTTCTTCATCAAAATCTATCATCAAACAACATCATCAACATTCGAATAGTAACACTTCAAATTCATCTTATACTGATCAAGATGTCGATTATTCTTTCGATGAAGACCTTGACTTTTATGACTCTTTACCTCATCCTTCAGATCCTCCGATCACAATAACCGATTCAAAACAACCTTCTACAAACTTATCTTCTTCTATTGCCAATCCTCATAAACAAACCAGTACCTCAACTTCAACCGTGCCCTCTAAACCTACTACCCAGTCTAGCCTTCTTCCCAATTCAGAGCTCACCCCGAGAGCTTACTCTTCAATTCATTCAAACCCATCAACTACTTTACCACGGGCTTTGGACTGGAAATTCCCAAAGGAATCTGGAACTTCTTACATTGCTCCTCCCTTGTCTCCTCGCCTTCGATCGTCATCTCGTCGTCCTTCCCATCCTAAGGAACCACCAGAGCCTTCAAAAAAATCAAATCCAAGCTCTCAACTTCCTCCAAGCTCAAATTTATCCATTATTCCCACCCGATACACCTCTTACACTAACAACTCGGTTCCGATCGTCGTCCCTCCTCCGGTATCTCCATATTTGAGCTCAACTCTGCCCTCAATCGTTATGTCTTCTCGGTCCGAGGCGGATGGAGTAGATATGAAGGCTCGCGGCATTGAATTCAGAGGCGTCATGCACGAAGGTTTGGCGCAAGCCACCAAGCCTGATCTTGATACAACCATTGTTTGCTCAACACCACCGACTATCGTAGACCCCTCTCAGTCTTCGGAACCCCCTCTACCTGTTCCTATCTCTCCTGAGGCTCTCCTAATGCATGTCCGCCAAATGAGATACGCATCCAAAAGACGACAACTGACACCTAACCATTCTTCCACCTCTGGCTCTCATGATGCTCCCTTGAAATTGCCAGTCCATAGTCGTGCCGGTAGTAACACCAGCTCTACATCAGAAGACAACCTTCAATATTCAATCCATTCTCCTCAGTTGCAGCCCACCCACATTGTCTATGAACCTGTGGCACCCGATCATGGAACCGTTTCACAATCACAATCACTTTCCCTGCCCTTGCCCGGTACTGGATCCTCAGATGAAATCAAGCCAATGGCAGAAACTTTGGATCTTTCTCATCAGCGCATCGCTGATCTTACTCAACCTGTTGTGGAAGAATTGGCCGAATATGTTGAACGTTTGGCACTTGGCTATAATTACCTGCCCGTATTACCTGATCATTTTGCTATCCTCGGTGAATCACTTCGCTATCTCAACCTTCGTGGCAATCACATGGAAGTCTTTCCAGAGGTGGTGAGCAACACTATTTACCATGATCTTGGCTATATTTACGGCTTGTGTTTCAGTCAATTTGCTGACTTGAGGTATTTCACCAGCTCACGCGAATGCCATCTCTCGAAATCTTGGATGTGAGCCGTAATAAAATCAAAGCTTTCCCTCGGAGGCCCGGCACCCTTGAGCGGCTTCGTGTAAGCCTGCCTCTTTGATTTTGTTTGCCTACACGGCCCCAAAAGATTTTGCTAATCCCTTGATCGTCAACAGGTATTGTCCGTTTCGCGAAACCGTATACGTCGACTTCCCAACTACGTTTCCAATCTGTCCACCCTGCGTGTTCTCAAACTTGATCATAACCCGGTGGTATGGCCTCCGAGAGATCTTGTGACTTTTGTGGACACTAGCGAACGTGCAGATGATGAGGAGGCTGATGCTCGAACTAGACAACGGGCAGATTCTAATTTAAAGGTTAGAACACGAACTTCATCAAATGAGACGAGCACGGCGATGGCACAATGGCTACGTGCTTTGCAGGATTGGATGCGGCAAAACCCCTATGTTCGACCTGTCAAGTCCGTTCGGCCTTCGACTGCAGACCCATCTACTTGGCAGAAGTATATAATCATGCCCCTAAGCTATATGATTCGATCAGTGCTGACTTCTTTGGCATATTTCCAGGTCGAATGAAATGCCCGCCAAGGCTTCCATCAACGCACCTCGCCTGGCTCATTCGGCAGAACACTCGCCTATCTCATTTATCAACACCGTATTGCCAGCGCTGCCATCTACGAAACCGGACCACGATCATAACCTGGATCCTTTGCCCCAACATAATCGTAACGCTTCTTCTAGTTCGAGCTCTCAGTGGGTTCGAAAGCGGCCAGACCTGCGTCTCAAGAAGTCTTTACCCGACCTTCGCCGAAATCATGGTGAAATCATGGTGGAGAGAAGAGCTGATGCCGATCGGTCCTATTCGTGTCTGACCCGTTCGAATAATACCAATGTTGCGAGTTCTAATGCCCCCATCACCTTCCTGCTCAACTCACCTTTGGAACCAAGATCCGCACAGTCACCATCAGGAGAACGCAGCTTACGCTTAGGCGAGTCAACGCTTGGCACTACATCCTCACCAGCCCTCACTTTTCTTCCCCAAAAGGCCGATCTCGTCCTCTCCAACCGTTCTCCGGTCCAGCGAATCAAACATGCGGGCGATGATCGATTAGCGGGTGATCGTAATAGCGGTGCCTATTTTCGTAGATTATCTATGCTTCCTGCCTCAACGATATCAAAAGAAGTTCCGGTACCTTTGCTAAAACTTATGGACGCCATTAGAGGCATTCTCTTCAGTTTATCTCAGATATACGCTGCTTTGAAACAATTTGTTGTTTTCGCCACTCAGGACCGCTTGCCAGGAGCGTTATCTAGGGTGATGAGTGCTGCGGATGATGCGATGAGCCGGCTAATCAATTCACTGGACCGATTTGATTCATCGACTCGGAGATCACAGCCAGAAGGTGAAGTGGTTCAAGATGTCCTTATCTGTTGTCGAGACAATGTGACTGTCTTTGGTAAACTGGTGAACGTATTGAGCATCCAGCTCAAGGTTCTCACCAATTCTGCTGATGTTCGGTACTCCAGAACATTATTGCTAACCTTGTATGGTGCTACTGCGGAAATCGCTATGTCTTGGTCAGCTATCACCCCATTAGTGGACAACATCGTCGACCTTTTGAAACTCCGGAAACCCGTTGCCACCCCAGCTGCACCTCGAGATACTCTGACAACCAAATCAAATGATAAACTCGAGATGAAGGTCATCTCAGATCCTGATCCCTTAGCTAGGGATGACTCATTGGTAGGCGACCAAGAGGCACAGTTGCAGAAAGTCAATGGGATTTTGGTCCCGTCTTCGGCCAATGCTCCAAACTTGTCTACCGGCCTCACCAGATCTCCTGCCGTGTCCTCATCCCTCTCCACAGCTGGTACCAATCGGCAGAAAGGTCGCCGCCATGCGGGATCTTTCAGTGTTGAGGATGTGCAACTAGGTGCAATTCTTCCACCGGCTTCCGCAGGATTATCAAGCAACTTCCCAGCTACCCCGACCGCTACCAATCAAACACCTACCCATGCCACTTCCCTCTCCGCTTGTTCGCCATCAGATTCTAGTCGATACAGAACCGAGTCTTCGGGGCTGCATTTTTTACTTGATCCTATCATCACCAATGGTCGCAATCTTAGAGAGCGTAGTGGTAGCAGTCGTGTAAATGGGACACCCACTGCCCTCGGGTTGCCTCTGGTCACTATAGGGGAGAGGGACACAGAAGAGAATCGTCTGGCTTCTCCGCTCATGACTTCATCTCCTTTGATCCGCCAGAAATCATTGGTATCTACGCAAAGCGATTCAGGGATAGTCTTCCCCCAACAGAGCGAGGAACGAGGATACATGATGGAAGAAATGATACCTTCTCAACAGTCTGAGGTTAAAAATCAAACTGGATCAACGACCTTTGACTCGCATCACTCTGGTGTTACTCTATCTCAATCCACCAACTCTTCGACAGCTTTCTCTAGTCGTGATTTTGCCGATCATTCGACTTTTTCCAAATCACCCAATCTGGCGGGCATGTCGCTTTCAAGAACAGATCAAGACTTTCTCGATATGACGGAAGCAACCATCGATATTGCTGTATCTGTTTCGAGCATGATGTTAGAGAATCTAGGACAAGCTACAAGTGCCATGGATTCTCGAAGTGGAGTGGCTGATCCCGGAGATGGAGAGACAGATTCTTCACCGAAACGAGATCGACGACATGGTGAGATAGGTCATGTGAGGCAGAATAAGGCCATTGAATTGAAAGAGCTTTGTGAACTTGATATTGAGATCATCAAACGTCTAAGGCTTAGTTTGGCACAGTTTTGGGCTTGTCAACCTGGCCTGGAAACTCAAAGTCCGAAAGAAAAAAGGGATTCCACAGATCAAACTGATGATGAATCTATCGACTCTTCTGGCTCAAAAGTCAATTGGCTCAAAGGTCAGGAAAGCAGGAGGGTCTATGAAGACGCTACAGCATTTGTTAAGGTAAACTGTCCTTTAGTTATCTTTTACTCTGAAGCGCATTTCGTATGTGTTTTGAGCTCAAAGGATTTTGTTGATCTCTTTCATAGGCTGTCATCCAAACTGCTAATCTGGCTCGGACTACCATGAATGAATACCCTTTATCAAAAGCTATACGAGAAGGCTTAGGGGAACTGACCAAAGCGACTAAGGAATTGGCTACGTTGCTTGCTGTGAGTAGTGATATCTGGAGATCGGCTTTCTCTTTGTCCAAGTTCTGTCAAGCATTAGGGTGATGGTGATGATACTGATGCAAGGCATTACATTTGTTTGACCTTTGAAAATCCAGGTGAGTTCCTTTAAACCGACTGCTACCTCTGTGATATCGACCACAACCAGTGCTTCGCTTGGTCAATCTCATGGTACAAGTCTAGCTTCTTCAATTTCACCTAATTCGCCGGCTTGTCTTATAGAATCTAGTCCAATAGATCCTGTCTGAGCTAAGTTTTGAGAATCTTACTAATCTCACTCACTCACTCACTCAACGCATCCCAAGATCATCCTTAAATCGATTTTCTTTTCATCCACATCATCATCTACATCATTGTTGTAATATATCTATTTGATTTCTTTTTAGGCTTTGATCATCTTTTATCACAAGATCCTGAACTTTTCATTCCCATCTTGTTCAATATATATATATAGTATATATCAAAATCATTTTTTTTGGGTAAACATCAATGATTTCAAAAAAGTAAAATTTGGTTTGTGTAATTTTCTCTTTTTTTTTGTAGTATAGTAGATTTCTTTTAAATTAAGTTGACACACATTGATTTTCAATTAATTGAATGGTTTTTTTTTACAAAGAAAAGATTTTCCTTTTTCGATCATGCTACTTTTTGTTTTGATTTTTTAATGAGTTTTTCTTATTACATAACATTTTCACACATCTCATTAAAAACATAGATTGTGTGAAAATCAGTTTTTTTTTGTATTTTTGTGTTGAAGATAAAAGGTGTTTGAATTGGATTGAGTTGGTCTTGGTTTTTATTTTTGAAAGATTATGGTACTTGATCTTTGCATTTCATGTTATACATAGGATTGGGGGGGGCAGGGAATTCTTCCCCAAGATATTTTTCAGGGAGGAGAAGTTTGTGTTTTTATGTTTCCAGGTGAAAGATTCCAGATTATTTGTGGTCATTGAAATGAAGTACATCAAATGTTTTATTATACAGAAATGTGCTTTGGAAAAAAATTTGGTGTGATTAGGTAGGGGAACTCAGGTTAAACAATTTTATAGCTTTGAACTTGGAAAAGAAATCTTAAATTGATAAAACTTTGTTTGAATTTTATGAATTTTGGATTCCTTTAACAAGAATTAGGGGTAGCAAGTTGAATGAGTTTTGGGAAAATCATAAGAGAAAAACAGACAAGGGTTTTTTACAATAGTGCAGGTTTGGAAACTTGTTTGATCTTATGTAGGATGACTTAAATTATATTAGTGCAAAAATAGCAAACTTTTTGGGTTTTGGTTTGGGACTGTGATGCAGCAGATGATCTGTGATTGGTCAAGCCAGTTTACTTCCGATTGTGATGTTGTGTGGAGATGTATATCCATTACAAGTGATACTGAGATGTTGAACTGATAATAGAACATTAGTGAAAGCACCACAGATCAATTGATAATTGGACAAGATTCCTTTGGATATAGAGGTTTGGTTTGATAGGATTGAAGGTGTAGCAGGGTTAGTCATAGTCAGGAGATCTTGAAACTCTGGAGCATCAAATGATGAGATGGGAAGCTCTTGGTTGACTATCTAGCAGATCAGAACATCCTTCAGGTTTTTCTCAATTAAAACATTTGACCTATGGAAACAAAAGTCAGTGAGTGTTTACACAACAATTTGAATGAACTGAGTGAAAGAAACTGACCTTGGTGAGCCTTCTGTTGTTGAGGAAATACTGCCATTGTTTGCTGATTGGTGTTGACAGGTGGCTTTATGGAGAGGTGTTTAATCATAGACTTTGTGCTGCCAGTTTGGTTGATTGCTAGGGTCTTGTTGAAGATCACAATGGGGGTGTCAGGATCCTCTTTGCCAAGGGTAACACTGTCAAAAAATCCTTGATTGGCTTTGCAGATCTTCTTGAGGAGGCCTTTGCTTTCTTGCTTGATAAAATACTGCCACACCCATGACAAGTGTGCAGTGGTAGTGGTATTGGAGACAGCTTCAGAGACAGAATCAGAAGGGTCAAGGCTGGAGGGAGTAGAAACTGGACTGAAGGGACCACTAGCGTTGGCTGACGCATGAGCCATGCAAAGAAGTTGGGAAGATAACTGAGTTGTAGGAGTGGATGAAGTAGGCATTATGAATAAAGGATGTGTTGATTGGTGAAAAAGATAACAATAACTGTAATAGAAATGTGCCATGTTTTTTCTCCATATCTTTGGGGTTTCTAAGTCATCTGATTAAATGTATTGCCTTGTTGGGCAAATCATTATGTTTGCTAAGTCTTTCCAGGAAATGAGTGTGTTCTATAGTGCATGAAGGCAAGACCTTGGCAATTTAGGATCAAGTAAATATTTGATGATTTGCCCTTTTGGCCTTATCAGCTCAAATCTCAGAACCTTCAATCAAGTTGGATTCTGGGTTTTTCATCAGGATGGTTTGCTGATCATTCAACTCAAGCTCAGTTTATACTGTCCCAAGTCAAGAAGCTTTTAGGGCTGCAAGTTGTGCTTTCCCTCAACTTTCTATGACAATCTAAAACATAAATACGTCAAATCGACTCGCATGAAGTACCATTCAGTACCGTCGCTCCCTCCTCTTTTCCTGGTTTGTTTTCACCTCACAATGTATTCTCTCTTTTCTTTTTGTTTTTCATCTTGCTTTTTGATTTCCTCCCTACACCCATGTGTTTTTGTTGTTAGTTTGTCGCCATACCAATAGTTGTCACTCTCATCCACCTGCTTTTCTGAATGGTCGTCTCTTACAATTACGGGCTTTTCTTCTGCTTATTTGTCTTACTTGCGTTTTTTGGTATTGCTATTGTTAATCTTTGCTTGGTTGTGTGTTTGTTCTTCTCATTTTCAATTTCCTTACAAAATGGTTCTCTTTGTTACCCTGATATTTAGTGCTTTCAATGCTGTGCTTTTTTCCCCGGGCGCATCACCACTTTTGATTCAATCAGGTTGTCCTTATTTAAACAGCCACTAATGCTCCCTGTCTTTCCGCATCTATCCCATTCGTATTTTTACTGTCCGCAACAACATCAATTAGCACATCCCAATACCTTCAGCTTTGCTTCATCCTACCTTTATTATTGTCTTTTGGGTTTTACCTGCGTTGCTGTCCCCATTATTTGTTTGGCCTGTTGCTCCAACACCCTTTAATTACCCTGTGGATTCTCCTCTGGCGCTATCTTGTAATTCATATAGATAAGATACAATTACCAAAGATGTGAGGGGTCAGCTACTTTCTGGCTGACTCTTCACTAAAAAGAAGTGTGTAAAGGACTAGGAAGAAGTCTTCACTGGTACACCCAAGTGAAGACTGCAGTTGGTTGACCTCCAAGGAGAGGATTTGATGCCAGTGGGGTGGCTGAGTAATCCCTCTAAGGATCTTACAACTCTGGAGCCTGCAGTACTTTAGATTCTGAGGATTCAGAGGTGCCGCGGGGTACTTTAGACTCTTTTAAAGAGGAACCCTTTGTAAATTCCAAGCTTGTTCTGTTAGCTATTGATCCCACCAGCTCAGAACACCACTTGAGGTTTTACAATAACCTGAATAAGAAGTTGAACTATGATAATCAAGATACAACTAAATCACTATACTCAATATTCTTGGTAAAGAATCAAGTAAGATGTGATGAGGAGTTGTGGTATGATAATAAGTTGTTCTTCTTCCAGAGTGGGAAGATAAGGAGTTTATATATTCCAGACCTAGGCGTCAACTTGTGGTTGGCGCTTAGGTTTGCTTTTCTTTTGAGCTAGGTCTGGGTTAGGTTTACTATGAGGTTAAGTCATAGTAAGTCTTGTTACTTAACTGACTCTTGAAACTGAGCCATGAGTTGTAATGCTTATGGTTTTAAACAAGTTTCATATATTTACATATTATTTACCTATGTATTACATGTATTTACATGTGTGTTTGTTAGTCCGTGGTCCTGTACACAGGGCTCAGAGCTGACAAAAGAAGATCAATTCTTTAGAAAAGAACAAGAAATCATGATTTTTCTCCAAAACTATATGCAGGGATTTATTTCAATGAGAGCCTTCCAAAACTTGAAGAAAAAAGTTGAAAAAGTTGACAGCTTGGTATGAATTTACTGTTTTGAAAAAAAAGATGCATGGAATCCTTTTGGCGAGAGCATTCCAGAACTTTGATTGGCAGGTGACCACAAAAGTTTTGTGGTCTAGCAATCATTTTGGACCTTGCTTTGAAATTGACAAAGATTTGCCTCCATACACTATACAATGATTGTGGCTGGTCTGAGATTGAAAAGGACAGGGTATCTAGTTTGGTTTGATTTGAAATCTTTGTGGGCAAGTTTGGTCTATTGATATTTGTTTTTGAGTAGCCAAGTTTTAATTTGTCTGTTGTCCATCTTTGTGATGATGTTACCTGAATTGAGAATGATGGATCCACAAATTTTGTTGGCTTGGTCAGCAATTTTTGCATTTATCAAGATGAGAGCCATGTTGACGTGTTACAATTTCCAAATTTGACATCCCTTTGAAGGGTGCTTTCTCAGGGGCTCTGTGGATGATGATAGTTGCTACTTTGAATTCATTGATATCATCATACTTTTTGGACGGTTTCGGTGCAGATTGAGGGTCCGGTCATTGGTGTATCCTGGGGTTTTGAGTGTTCCAAGCCTGAGGTTTAGCTGCTAAGAGATGTTTGATCGTTGGTGGCATGTATGTGGCTTCTTTGGAATGATTGGCTTTGAGGCTACAAATCTCTTATCGGAGCTCCTTGATGGTTTGCATAAACACCACCACCATCATGAGTACGCTCTTGAGTAGTGTGTTGTTTGATGCTGGTTTATTCGAGGCTAGATTGGATAGGACCTCTATGATGGTCTCCGAATTTGTTTGGACTCGGTTTGAGTTTGAATTGTTTGGACGTGGAGGTGTGTTGTCGGGATCGGTGCCGAAGAGGCGCTTTGAGGGCCTCAGGAGGGTTACGAGGGGTTTCTTTGGTTGATTAGTTGATGATAGAGAAAAAAGATGAATAGATTTCTTGAGGATTTGGAGAAGGTAGAACAAAAAGAAATATTCAAAATTTAAACCCACGAAATTGGGACGGCCCCGGGACCAAGGGGTGATTCAGCCGGATCGTAGGAGACCCCGAGTGATGAGCGAGCGCGGGACTTTTGCTAAGTTTAATAAACAGGAGCATTCATGATGGCTGTATTGAGATTAGATTTGAATGAAATATGAAATTTCTATAACAACTGAAGTGAAGATATCAATCAACTTTATCGATCGCTGAGCCACAACCAATTCAGGACTCAGGAGTCAGCTTTAAGCCTCAGCCAAGTTAACGGCTTTCTAGTGATTCTTAAATTTAATTATTCATTTGATCTCTTTGTTATAAAAATGAAATCAAATTAAATTCAATTATCATTTTATCCTTATCATCCGAATCTCATCAAATTAATTAAAATTCAACATCACCATCAAACTTGATTTTCGAAAACCTCTTTCAAAAAGAAGAAACACCAAACATTATAAACGATCATGACTTCTTCTAGAAGAACATCACTTCCACGATCCAATTCAAATAGATCTCAATCTCAATCAAATCAATCACCATTCTTACCTCCTCCTGCAAATAAAGAAACGTTTAAAGATTTACTTATTTTTGAAGAACGTTTGAAACAAAATTCAGAAAGATTACAACGTCAAAGGATCAAATATGAAGGTTTGCTTTCGAGTTTCGATTTCACATGATTAAATGATTCGTCTTGTAATCTTTTTTTGGGGGAAATGATGAATTGATTCGATTTGTCTTGTCTCTCCTTTTTTTGAAACTTTAGCTTTTCTCTTTTCACTCATCATTGTGACTTTTCTTTTGGCTTACAAATCGTTTGTAGCTGTTTCACCCGTAAGTCTTTTTCTTCTACTTTTTTTTCGATGAGGGTTTGATAGATTCCAATAAAAGTTAATGAAGTCTAACTTGATTTTTCTTTTCGTTTTCCTTTTGATTCACAGTATAAAGTCTTTCATTATTCTTATGTTGGACTTCTTTTAGTGGCTATTACTACTCTTATCCTTTTCTTTGCAACTGGAATGTACACAGATCAAATAGCTTATGCATATAAGTTGAGTTCAATTCGTTTTTTCAAAAAACCATTTTCAAACCAGTTTGAATCGAACAAAGAAAGCTAACCTATGTTTGTTTTTCTTTGCTGATTGATTTGATAGGTTTATTCCACAAACCAATCGAGCCTTAAGACCGTTTAATATGTTTTTAAATACACCACCTACCAGTTCACCTTTAAAGATGTTTGTTTCACCCAAAGAACCCAATGGGAATCTAGTTCCAGCTTTAATGAATCCGAGAGGAGAATTATTATTTTCGTCTAAAGTCTCGATACCATTTATTGATGGTTACGAAAGCTATCGAAACGAATGGGAAAGAAGAAGGTTACCTAATTCGAATGGGACTCGGACACTGAAGAAAGTTAGTTTGGGGGATCGAGAAGGAACAGAAGAAGTGGATGAAAAGTTAAAGTCGGTGGGGCAGATGAGGTCTAGAGAATCTACACCTGATCTTTTGGTCGATGAAGTCGTTTCTAATGATGATGAAGATCGGAATTCGTCTATTACTCATCTTGGGTCTTCTCCTACTGAACTTTCGGTTAGTTCTTCAACCGAATCTGATGGTCTTGGGGAATGGTCTACTGTTAGAAGATGAACATTGGCTTTTGCTTCTTTATTCCTCTTCCTTTTTTTTGATCGTTATTCATCATGCATTAGTTACTTTTTTGCCTTTTGTATCTTGTTTTAGATATCTATGGTTTTTTGTTTTTCGTTTCTTTTGTTTTCTTTTTGTTTGTTTGTTTTAATGAATGAGATGGAGTGAAAAAGGATTTGATACTTTTTCTTTTGTAAAAGTTTTTTCTTTCCTTAATTTATTTTTTCCCCTCATCATGATATATCTCATTCAATTAATTCTTTCAATGTTCATTTTTCTTTTTGATGGATTGATGGATTGATTGGTTGATTGATTGATTGATTGATTGATTGACAATTGTTTTTCTTTTAAAATCAAAATAAGAAAAGTAATTTGTCTTACAATCTTGATTGATCTTTTTAAAAAGGATAAAAAAACATGCTCATTCATAAAATGATATCTTTTCTTCCTTTTTTTCTAGAAAAGTTGGTAGAATTTTATTTTGATTCATCTTTGAAATTTGATCTCTTCAAATATATATATATGCATCATTTGTTGTTGTATCACATGAATTGTTTTGGTTTTGTGCAAGGTATTGATACATATTTTTATGCCTACTGTAATTAGAATTGATGAATTTTTTTTAACTTATAATGAAAATCAAGAAATGATTATGTATCAATCTTTACAATTATTCAAGTTGAAAAAATAATTGATTTGATATTATAAATACTTATGTTTAAACTAGAAGTGATGTAATTACAATTGTGATGAGGTTCAAGCCAAAAAATCTCCAAAATATTAAACTGTCCTTAAACCTGTTAATTTTATTTATAAACTTCAGAGGTGCTCTGCTTAAAAAATCACAAACTCATGTCATTTTTTTTTATTTCAAAGATGTATTAATTTTGAAGGGCTGAGAGGCCAAAGTATAAACCCAAAAGTTTAGGGCCCATTTGGTTGACATCAAGCTTGTAGGTTGACCCAGTCAAATGCTCATACATATGCTTCAACATACATCTGGGTGTTGGGCTGGTTGGTACACACTTTTCCAAAAAAAAGTGAACCATACGCCCTGCAGGTCTTCCAGTCAAATTGGTCAACCTTGTAAGTTGGCTGTTCTTCTTGATTCTGGTAGGTTGAGCTGCCTACAGCCAATAACTTAACTTTGGTAGCCCTCTGCTATTTGAAGCATCTACCAATTCAAGGAAGATCTCAGGCTTATTGCCCAGTTAATTGTAAATCTAACATGGATTATTTAATTCCAAAAGCCTGTTCAGCCATTGTTGTCCAGAGAGCACAGGGTTGTTCTATACAGTTTATGGTCTATGTTGAGGATAGGAGGTGTAGTATTGAGTAGCACCAGATTAGGCTGCCAAGACAAGTTAGTTGTCTTTGAGAGCTTGTTGCTCTGCTTGAATTACTGACATCTTGGATCAGAATGAGTGTGATTGATGGTCACAATCTTAAGGATCTGTTGATCAGTATTAGATCAATGTTTATAGGATGAGAAATTATTCTATTTACAAATTATCCCCTTTCACTGTGTAAATTTCCTGGTAGAACATTGATGTGCACATACCAAAAATAATTCATAGAGGGATGATAGATGCTTTGAAGAGGTCTTTGCATTTAAAGACCCATTCCCTTTGTCCAGGTGCTCAGAAAGCAAGGTCAATAAAGGGGTGCTGTCACTGAGATTGTCACTAAACTTTAACAAAACCATATAAACCTTTGTTTGTTTTTTCAAATCTCTTTATTTGTGCACACCAAAATGCTACCATGAATTTCACACAGGGTTTATCATGATCCTCAGGATTCATGAAGTTTGAGTTTGGGCTACCAAACAGCCCAGGCTCTTGAACAACATGTGAGGCAGACATTGTCAACCTGTGCATGCCCAAGTAGACACTTGCAAAGTGTACACCCGCAAGAGCAACAGCAATTAAACAGGCCCTTGGAAATCTCACAAACAAGATGAGTGATACAGGTGCCCAAAGGCACAACAGCACCTGTGAGTTCCATCAATCTCAGAAGCAACCAAGGAATCAGGGCAAGAGGCCCCAGTACATACATGACACAGTACCAGGATTGTGGTGATACAAAGTCTTTTTACCAAAGAAAGACAAGGCAGAAACCTTGATCATCATTGCACTTGATTCCTTCAGCAAAAAACCATCCACACACATTTCTCTCTATTCAAAAATCTTCTTTGACTACTCTCTACCTTGCAGACAGCCTACCCTGTCCAATAGACCAGTGGCCTCCACCCCCCTCAACACATGTCATGAGCCTTAAAATATATTTTAAGTTACATGACTCATGATCTCATAACTAAGGTATTAATGGATGAAAAATAATTGTGAAATGAATAAACATAACAAGAAAATTTACATAGCAGAGAAGTGTGAACAGTCAAATTAATGGAACTCCACATATACAGTCACCTCTGTGAAAACCGATACCCAAAAAATTGGGTCCAAAGCTATTGGTTTTCACCGAGTATCTGTTTTCTCAGAGCAAAATTCACTAAAAATGAAGATTTATTTGCTCAAAAAAGTATTGGTTTTGCATGATTATTGGTTTTGACATGTATTGGTTCTTGCAGAGGCAACTGTACACTGAAGAAAGGTTTGAGATACCCCATCTGAAGCTGATCATGTCTTATCTTATTGTGGAGTCCTTTTGAATATCCTTCAATTTTGTTCAATATTAGTATGCATGTGAGGCTTTAGCATTGAGGTCTTATGTAGAATTCCTAATGTTGCAAGGGATTTGAGCCAGTTAAAGAAGACTGGCCAGAACTTATATGAATAAAAGCAAGTTTTGTAGTTGTTACATGATAATGTAATGATTGTCCAAATGGTTAGATTTTCAGGGTTGATATAGTCTGAACTTTGAAAATCTTTGGACTACAAGTGCACACCAATTTTGGCTCAAAGGTTAAGTCAATTACAGTAACACATTTGCCATTGGCTTGTAAGTATATTTCACTTGTTATGTACATGTTACACCTGTGATATATATGTAGTTTTTGTGCACATAGAAGTAGTGTTTGTAGAGACTCTTTTACATGAGTTTTGAACATAGTACATGTGCTAAACTGTACTTAAATTGACTCTTGAAGCTGAGCCTTGATTTATGATCACTATTTTTGAGGTTTTATATTATGATATGTTGCCCCTTGGTACTCTGGTTTAGTGATTGGGGCTGACAGTTGTTAAAAACCAGGCTTCAAGCCCACCCAAAACAAGTTGTAACACAAAAAAGGGTGTGACATTATCTGGACATGTTTGAGAGACAAGCTGTCTATATTTGACACATTGGTGACCCAAAATGCACTTGCAATTTATGAGGCAAACAGAGAGCAACCTTTGATGTTATACCTTGCATCTGACAAAGGCACCAACAAAACCAGAAAAAAATCCCACACATTACAAAGGGCATTCTTGATCTGTCCTGGTCTTTCTTGATTTTTTGAACTCATGTGAGCTTTCAAAACCAGACATTGCATCAGAAATTGCATGCTGTGTTCATGCTGAGTAAAATGCTTCAAGAAACATCAAAAAATGTTTCAAGACAGAGAGCTTCTCTACAGATTTCTTTTGAGAATTTGGGCCAAAACTCAGCCCTCAATTTCAGAAACAATTTTCGCTCAATCATTTTCCCATGAATGCAATCATTTCTTGCCATCACTGTAAACAGCATACATTTATGGTACTCAAATTTGAAAGGTGATTCTACCTTTTTTGAATACCTAGATACAAAAACTAGGCACTGCCGGGAAAAGTGAGATTTGGGTTCTCCAGCGCTGGCACACACTTCAACCTCACAGAATGATGAAAAAGAATCAACCGGTGAGTGAATCGACCAATTATTCACTCGCCAATTGAATGGAATCAACTTATTCAATGAGTGAACCCACTGATTTGAATCAATCAATTCAAATCAGATGAAAGGCAGTTTCACTTTTTGACCAACTGATATCACTGGTGACTGATATTAACAAAACTATTGAGGTTGTATTTCAAATTCAAAAGGTATTGAAATAATTTGATCTACTCCGACCCATGATCTCTGAGGTAAAATGATAAAAGGACCTATTTGACAATCCAAAGCAGATATCATTAAATCTCTGACACCTTGAACCTGAAAAGGTATCACTCTCAGTCCCATCAGTCTCATCTAAGCCTGTTGTGATCTATCCAAAGATTTGGATCTACCGCTGATTGGAGGACAGCCTGGTCAAGGTGATATTAGGAGAGTTGGAGTCTGAGCTGTTGTATTGTTGGATCTTCAGTATCTGATGATGAATTTGAGGATTGGTTGCATGGTTTTTATACTGAATCACATCTTGAGTTGTGAAGGCATGACTGAGGGACAGAACCAAGAGGATAGATGGCTGCAGCAGTTGCTATCATCTTGAGTTGAAGGTAAGCATATGAAGATGAAAAGGGGTTTTTGAAGTGAAGTCAATGACAGATGAGAATTATAAGCACGGGGGCCTCAAAGTGAGGGCTACATATCAGTTTTTTTCCCCGCCAAAAAAAACTAGTATTCTAGGTTTTGAAAAAGGCAGAATCTACCTTTCAACTTTGAGTACCCTTATTATCCCCAAGTGGGAATGGCACAATGATTAAGATGGTACTTTGTCATAAAAAGATCCATAACTGCACAGTTGAGCTGTAACACCCACACTACATATGTGCAGCGGGCTGAGTGAATGAGTGGCTATCATGTACATACAGGTTTGCTTAGTTATCTTCTCATCTGGTAATCAAACCATATGCAATACATGTTGTAACTTTTTTCAGCTTGACAAAGGTATTCCAAAGATTGACTACATACACTGACTCAGAGGTTTGGTGCAATTTAATCAACCATACTTCCTGTAACACCCTTTCTGTTCCTGACAAATGGCTGCAAAATTATATGGAGGTATATACCTTTTGGGGCATTTTTGTAACCATGAAAAAAGTTACATGATGTATCACATGTGATTTAAATGATCAGATGAGCAGACAACTGAGCAGACCTGTATGTACATGATAGTCACCTATTTACTAAGCCTGCCTCACATATGTAGTGTGGATGTTATGGATCAGGTGTACAGTGATAGATGCCTTTATGACAAACTATACTCTTAATCATTTTCTCATTCCCACTTGGGGATAATGTATAATGTTTACATTACATGGGAAAAACATTACCCTTGCTGTATTAGAACTTTAGATAAGGCTCTCACATGCCTAATAAACTTGGTTCATTATTAAAACTTCAATCTTTAGTACTTTCCTAGCCTAAAAGAAGCTTGTAGCTCACAGATGTTTCATTGACTTGTGGCATTATTGTTTCCTTACAGTTTTCACCTCCACAGATCAGTTCCCTGATCCATTAGAAGATATCTGGATTCCTTTAGGGCTAACCAATATTGAGAAGAATTCTAGATGTGAAGTGGTATTTTGGAAATTGATCAAAATTCAAGTGATTTCCAATATATTTGAAGATCCACAAGACAAAAGATGTAGAATTTCACCAATAAGATCTCAATTGAATTCAAAAAAATCAAATCTGGATTGATATTTGAATGATAAGTGTCATTTTTGAGAAACTTATATAGTCTTGAACAAAAATCATTGTGGTTGATGAATAAAATTTCCTTGATTCTTGAAAGTCAACAACAGAATCTCCCATCAGTGAAGAAAGGTGGAAGCATTCCTCTCATCATCCCCTTGGAGGCAAGCACCT